AAAGTATTAGATGTGTGATGAGAATGACTACTGTTAGAAACACACCAGCGGTCAAATAGGATGACCATGGTTAGAGCAAAAGTATTAGATGTGTGATCAGAATGACTACTGTTAGAAACACACCAGCGGTCAAATAGGATGACCATGGTTAGAGCAAAAGTATTTAATGTGTGATGAGAATAATGTGTGATTAGGATAACGTCATTTAGGTGACCAGCGGTCAAACTGGATGAACTACTGATACTCATTTGGACAGGGAGAAAGTTTTAGGAATTATGGAGTAAGGATAACAACAGTGCTATTGGGGATCCTAGTGCACACGTACTTAGTCCTGTATCTTTACTGTGATAGTATACACATATTGTGCTATCTAGTGTAATGAAAATCTGAGTACATACATTACTGTTTCTGATGTCACGGCTGTATAGACCACCCAGTACTAGGTGACATTATCATATTATACTGAGTTAGGAGTCGGACAATTATCAGGAAATTCAATGATGATAATGACAATATATTTAACGCCTGACTGACCATGCTTATAAATACAGAACTGTTTATGTGGGGGATAGCCAGTCAAGCATACCATCCAAAACATTGATGAAACATGCATATCACAATCGTCAATAAACTGAAAACAGTAGACAGAACAACAATTTACATGTCTTTAAAATTTGTCATCATCTCTCAGATGTAAACACAGACTTGGACGACACGCAGAATACACGTGTGTCACTGGACATCATCTCCTGTATGCTTCCCCGACCTGATGAGACTCCTCACCCAAGAACACACACCGAGATCAATGGCCGACACATTGTTAACCAGACAAAACAACACTTGCTTACTCTATGTACTCAGCCATTATCCGTACATTCCCCAAAGGTCCCCTTCCGCTAAATTCTACAGAATATGGTCGTCGGAGAATCGGTCCTTCCTGCCATGGAACCGGTCTATATATAGCAAGTCTTGGATGACTTAACCGGCGTACAAGCAGCCACGGCAAAAGCTGTCTGATCTACCATTACGTGATTGTCAAGTGCTCCCAATGCAATCCCTCTGTGATGCACAGAGAAAGTATCTTGGGGAACAATTTAATAAACAAGCTGTTAGGGTTTTTTTAAAACAGACTCTGATTAAATCACCCACATATCTGTGACACCAAGCAAGTGGCCGTGTCATTATAACCGCTGGAGCACAGTTTCACCAAGGCAACCAATAAAGTTTACCACGGTTACAGAACACAGACGAATCTCAATTCAATGATTTCTGTCTCAAGCAAATTAGTTAGTGGAATTAAAACATTAAAATCCGTACCACGTAAGTCTCTAAACCCAGTAACCGATAGCAACAGGAGCCGCAGTTCAATTACAGCTCTGATTACAAATCTACATTCTATCACTACAATTTTATTGAATGAAAAACTTACAAAATAGATGTTTTTTGCCAGATATCATGCACGTCTGTCAAAGATTTAGATGATCAATACCGTTATGCTGCAGAGAGAATGATTCAGGACCAGGAGGTAGGCCACGATTCAGCCATGGTTTTATAGCCCGATTACGATAAGCACAGTGCTGCCTCAGACAACCAAAGGCCACACTGACATCAATAGATTTAAACATCTCTCCGTAAAAAAAGAAATTCAACAACAAGTTCATGAATAATGAATTCTTAACCAAATTTGCGTTGTGATTGATTCAGAAGTCTAGAGAAGACTCACATCACACAAAAGTTAAAGCAAGTATATATGTTTAAAGCATTTGAAACCAAATCACGATAAAAATGCTTCAGGACATGATCGACTGTCCTCTTGCCCCTGAAGTCAGTAAATTGATGGCATGGACAATCAGCCCACATGTTTTACTTTACTCTAACAGAAGAAGAAGAAATGCAACAGCCAGACCAGGGTTCGAACCCGAGACCCTCCGAGCTCTAGACGGACGCTCTACCAATTGAGCTACTTGGTCGCTGATGATTGCCCAGTTCAGTTCCACTACACTATATATATAGATACATTCATTATATCATGCATTTTATAATAAACAGTTGTAGACTGTCAAATTAGTGTAAAAAGTATAGCCATCATTCTCTTCCAACTGGGTCAGAAACCAACAAACCTATCAACTTTTCAGTACCGAAGAATAAGATGTTATGTAGTGTTTTGTAAAGACAAAATATACGAAGGAATCGAAATAGAAAAGCAAATAATGCACAAAGTTGAATTGTAGGTGCAAATTTAATTGCCAAAAGTCTTCTAGAATATCAAAATGTCTGTACCCCACCCAAACATAACTATTATTTTCTATCAGAAACCAACAGCTATCCCTTACTGTCAATAACCAAGATATCAGTACCAATCACTGTCAAAAACACAACACAGCTATCCCTTACTGTCAATAACCAAGATGTCAGTACCAATCACTGTCAAAAACACAACACAACTATCCCTTACTGTCAATAACCAAGATATCAGTACCAATCACTGTCAAAAAAAACCCACAGCTATCCCTTTCTGTCAGAACACAACACAGCTATCCCTTTCTGTCAAAAACACAACACAGCTATCCCTTTCTGTCAAAAACACAACACAGCTATCCCTTTCTGTCAAAAACACAACACAGCTATCCCTTTCTGTCAAAAACACAACACAGCTATCCCTTTCTGTCAAAAACACAACACAGCTATCCCTTTCTGTCAAAAACACAACACAGCTATCCCTTTCTGTCAAAAACACAACACAGCTATCCCTTTCTGTCAAAAACACAACACAGCTATCCCTTTCTGTCAAAAACACAACACAGCTATCCCTTTCTGTCAAAAACACAACACAGCTATCCCTTTCTGTCAAAAACACAACACAGCTATCCCTTTCTGTCAAAAACACAACACAGCTATCATTTTCTGTCAGAATCCAACACAGCTATCATTTTTTCCTCAGAACACAACACAGCTATCATTTTCTCTCAGGATCCAACACAGCTATCGTTTTCTCTCAGAACCCAACACAGCTGTCGAGAACTTTAGCCAATAAGACATATCTGACAAATCTGGTAAATCAGAAACTAGCACTATAGTTATCATGAACCAAATTGTATCAAAGTAATGTTATTGATATGCTGGGAATATGATTTCATTTCACAATTTTTTTATTGAATATTGCATCTTATACAAATTCAAAAGGAATTGGGCAACAGGCGTAATGCCTATACAAACCCTCTCCTAGGAATATGATCAATGAAGTAGGATTAATCTATTAGATTTGAGAAGGAATAGGGTTGATGAAGCTAATTAAGTAAGTCATTTAAGTATTCTTGTATAGTACTTTCTTATCGTTGTAATACCAACTACCGTGTTTGACCTAATAAAGGCGCAT